TTCTCATTGTTTCCCTTTAGCAATGGCCTCGGATTCAACATCGCGTTCAACGTGTTATTTGGCATGGCTTTCTTGGCTTCAAGCTTTGTTGTGTTTCTTGTCCAGGAACGAACGAACAAAGCCAAACACGTGCAGTTTGTCAGCGGTGTGGATCCAATAAGCTACTGGAATTCCGCCTACACCTGGGACTTGATCAACTTCCTTGTACCCACCCTCTCAATTTTAATCCTTGTGGCCGCTTTTGACGTTCCAGCTTACACAGGTCTGTAATCAAGTTACCTCTAGTTTTATCTTAGAGCTCTGTTCTATTAAACGAAAACTAAGGTCATCACTTCTAGCCAATCAAAACAAACAAAATAACGCGACAAGCCAATCAGAGCTCGAAGAAAAATTGTACCGCCAGTTTCTAAGGCGGGAAAAGTGCAACCTTTAGTAAGCGAGGGAAAATGCGGGTAAGCCAAGTGAGCATTGGGCTTAGTTTTTCTCGAGATTAGTTGAAAACAATGTCTGTTGTGATTGGCCGCAGAAAGTTGCGCGAGTTTGAATACAAAACGGAAGCGAGCAGACCAAATTTTCGATAGCTTAACCAAATAGTTAACATAAACGGCTGCCATCTCAGCTGCCAAGTCATCTGATTATGAAATATTATATTTCTTTTCTTTCTTCGCAGGTCCTCGTCTAGGTTATCTTTTACTGCTGTTGATGTTTTACGGCTGGGCTGTTATTCCGCTCATGTATCTTTTCACGTTCGTGTTTCGTACCGCTTCCACGGCTTTTGTAGTGCTGACTATTTTCAACATTGTCACAGGGCTGGTCACACTTCTGACCGTTTACATTCTTAGTGTTCCAGGTAAACGCTGCAGCTGCATCGTGTGTTCTTTATAGAAGTTTCTGTCTTCCAAACTCTCTTCCTCCGGCCTCTACACGGTTTTTTGTGTCTGCTTTTCGATTAGTATCGACGTTTGTGTCATTTCGCTGGGTTGCATTTTGAGATCTAAGAACAGGTTTTGATGATTTACTTTTAGTTACTCCATCAAACAAAGAATTTTTCAATGATACGACACCAGTTCTTGGATACCAACAATACGAGCTGGCCTGGCACTTACTCATTAATTCCTAGAGGAAGATTATCGCATAAGCACATTGGAAACAAGCGACAGTGCCTCCATTAGTGGAATCAGCTTCCTTTTAGGGCGCACAAATATACTAACACTGACTTTCGAAAATATCATTTGGGCGCAAAACCCCTCGGATAATACGAGCTCCCAAATATAACAGACCCCTGGGATAATATGAGCACCAAAATGCAACCGACTAGTTCAGGTTACTCCTATTTTTAGGTTACAATAAATTGGAGCGCTACTATATTGCGATAGGCAATCAATTATTAATTGTTATTATCTCGCAAGGTAGTCTTGAGGTTAATTCGTGCGTTCTGATTGGTTCATTTTTGGTCGGCTGTTACGACCTCGGGCCAATATTCCCCAATAGGGCCCTCACGCTTTGTTAGTAAAGGGTTAGTATATTCTGAGGTATTTTAATTTGTTTACCAGTAGTTTCTTTTCTTTCTATAGATTTAGACTACCAGGACATTGGCCATGCCCTTAAATGGGCCTTCCTCGTTCTACCTAACTTCTGCCTCGGCCAGGGAATGTCAGACATGTTCACCAACTACAATGCCATAGACATGTTCAACTCTGCGGTGGATATGTGTGTTACGACGTACCACGCCCCCAGAAAATCGTGTGAAGCACACATTCGAAAACTAGGCGGCGATGGGCTACAGTTTCAGGATAATTACCTGGCCTGGGACAATCCCGGTATTGGACGTTACCTGATATTTTTGACCTGGGAAGGAATCCTTTTCTTCGTGCTAGTGCTGTTGATCGAGTATCGCGTGTTTGACGCGTGTACGAGATTTTTCGCGCGTTTGCGCTCATACTCCACCGGAGTGTTTACAATGGAGGAGCCGAGCTTGGCTGACGATGAGGATGTTTTAGCGGAGAAAGAAAGAATCTTGACGTCTGAAGACAACGATGATGTGCTTGTTATCAAGGAGTTGAGAAAAGTCTTTGCTGGAAATGGCCGTGAGTTGTAGTGTTAACTGACAGTTTATAAAGTCTGGTATAATACAAATCTTACTTCTCTATATTGTTTCCGTAACAGGTATTTTGGTAGATTGTGCAATTTGTTTTGCAACGTTTCGAGTGCCAGTTTTATTGTCGTTGTTCAGGTTTTGATGATAGCAGAAACGTTGCCAAAACCTGGATATTTCAACCACTGACAAGCTGACAAAATTAGCCATATTTATAGCGTAGCTGTGTTTAAGGGGCTCCTAAGGGGTTTGGGGGAGAACAGTTAAATGCAAGCTATAAATAGTAGTTACAGAATTACAGAAATAATGCCTACCAAGAAAACTCTGTGGCAACAAACTCAAATATTATGGAGAAATCTGTATCGTGTTTTTGACTCCCAGGTCGTGGGCCATTGGTTGCAGTGGATCGTTTGAGCCTGGGTATCCCCATGAGTGAGTGTTTTGGTCTTCTGGGAATTAACGGCGCCGGAAAGACTACCACGTTCAGGATGTTGACTGGTGACGAGACCATGTCAGGGGGGACAGCTTTGGTGGAAGGGTTTGACATCAGAACCAACATGAACAGGGTTAGTTGCATTGCATTGATTCGTTCTTAGGATAGTTCTTCTTCCCGCTAAAGTAGTAATAGCGAGGTAGCACACGCGTGCCTGCGCCTGGCGCGTGTCTTGCTCTCGCGAAACGCTGCAGTTCGCACCTTCTTAAGTCTAGAGCGCAGGCTAGTTTCTCTTCTGCTTGCGCGTGCCATGAAGGCTTGAAGTCCGAGTGGAAGGCAGACTTTAGAGCGGCTATTTTATCCGTGTGGATCCTCCCTGGCCCTTAATTGGGTCGTGACGGTAAACTTACCATCAACCTTCTGCATCTCATTGTTTCCAGGTTCGTCAGCGTATTGGTTATTGTCCACAGTTCGATGCTTTGATCGACCAGTTGACCGGAAGAGAGCTGCTTTACATGTACGCACGGCTACGAGGCGTACCGGAAGGGCTGATACCCGACGTTGCCGAGGATCTCATTAACGCTTTAATGCTCCAGGAACAGGCTGATAAGTTAACCAGTTCATACAGGTACGTCATCATCTTGCTCATATCATAGATAGACGAGACATTTTCTCACCCTGCACTCCCTTCCCTAGTGGTGGCAACAAACGAAAGCTGAGCACCGCCATATCACTGGTAGGGCATCCCCCAGTGGTGTTTCTGGATGAGCCCACTACTGGTATGGACCCAGTGGCGAGAAGATTATTATGGGATGCGCTGTCACGTGTTCGAGCTGATGGAAGATGTATCGTGATTACGTCACATAGGTGAGTGTCTTGAAATATTTGAGCTTCTAGTGAGGCTTTAATTCTGCCGTTTTTTCTCTCATTCCTCTATGTTTTCTATTGTATATGGTGTCCTTCATTTCCTAATTTCTTTTCTGAGTTGCAAAAATGAAACAGGAAGTTGCTACTCCAATGAAACATTCGCTCTCTTAGAATCGGTCTTGGAACAAAATTTCTTTCCTTCAAATGCTTGCTTGATGTTTCGTACATCGAGTCCATTGTCTGCGAAGGTTAAACTGTCTCTTCTCATGTTATGAGATAAGAATTCTTGATGACATCTGAGAATGAGACCAAATTACTCGGGAGAGAAGGGACGGGAACTGCCCTGCTTTAGAAATGTTAACACATTTTTTTTTTCTACCAAAGTACTAAGTCCTGGGCCTGCAATCCATGAGAAATTTGCAACGTAATGATGTCACTTACCTTTCTTTTACCTTTCTTTCTGCCGACCGTCCACGTTCAGGAGTTTTTTTTCTCCCTACAGTATCAATATATTTTAAAGCAAACAGGTGATGAGAATAAAGTTATTTTCAACAATGAGATAGTGTCTTGAGGAAACATCTAATTCTCATTACTAAGACTAAAAGAAAAGGATGGAGATCAGACAGGACAAGTAATATTTCGAGGTTGTAACACTGTCAACTTCAGTGGAATGGGGTCTTAATGAAACACCAAATCTCATAACTTTGTCTAAAACAAATATTTGGAAATAGGTAGTAAGAATTGATAATTTGATATTGTAACACTGGGAGAGTTAACAAAATTGTTTTTCCGGTTTACAGTATGGAAGAGTGCGAGGCTCTGTGTACCCGACTCGCTATCATGGTAAACGGACGACTGAAATGCTTAGGAAGTCCTCAACATCTCAAAGCCAGTTTTGGCGAAGGCTACACTTTGCTCGCGAGGGTATCCAGTGATACACCCGATATCACACCGCTGAAAGAATTTATAGAAGGCTCATTCCCTGGTAGTGTGTTGAAAGATGAACATCAGGGCATGGTCCACTATCACATCTGCGACACCAGGGTAACGTGGGCTCAGCTGTTTGGAACAATCGAGCGAGTTAAGTTGAATTTCAACATTGAGGATTATTCTGTTAGTCAGACCACGTTGGAGCAAGTGTTTCTGAACTTCGCGCGAGGACAGAGAGCAGAAGATGAGTGAATGTGTACTTCATGAACAGTAGTTAGATACCAAAATAAATTGTTAAGATTTAAGTTGTTCTGATATAAAAGATTCTATCTCAAGAAGTACGAACGACTCCATCCGCAAACTTGAGACGGTTTATTCCTCACAAAAATTACAAACCATATGCTTCAAACATATGGATACGAAATTTCTTATACTTGTGGACAAACAAAATTTACATAATTGCGAAGGCGCCCGTACGCTATCTACAGTTCATTCGCACAAGCGAATTCCAGCGAAATTTATTCACATCAGATACACTATCAGATTACATTTTCTTTTCAGTATATTTGTAATCAGTTGAGAAATTTGTCTACAGTTAAATAGTCTGGGGCAGCGATGGAGCGAGGTCTATAAATAAAGCATTGTCATTGTTTTTATCACATATTAAAACGATTATGATTGTGGGTAACATGGACGCGAGTTTCCAGTTTTATCCTATCCCTACCAGAAGTGTCAATGAATTTTTACACTTTTTAATGCTATAAAATAGAGCCAGTTTTAAATTGTTTTGTAAGTGTCAGCGATAACTTCAGCGTCAAACACATTAAGTTTGTGTTTCACGTGTATATACAGGACTAGGATAGTCCAGTAGTTACGTTCTCTCTCAAAACGGTCCGCCACTGTACAACAGACTTCTCCGCTGACATTAGATATCTTTAAAGGTGCATTTACGCGACATTCATTTTGGGCACGGCTTTCCAAAATTTTGGCACGCGGGCCGATAATTTTGGGCACGGCCTGCTTGATTTACACGGCAGAACAGGTTCAATTTTTTTCAATGTTGATCAGTCTGAACGGCACCCCTGAAACAAGAACGGCACTCTTACATTTGTGAGTCCCTGTGCTTATGTGAGAGCGGCTCACATTTGATTTCAGGCGCGCTTTCGTAGGCTGTTCAAAAATAAAATGGCAGATTCTCGAGTACAAAAAGCGATTGTATGGCTTACTGTATTGAAATAGCGAGAACGCCTGTCGTAAATGAGGGACGAAACAAGGTCGTCCCTAGCACCACTCTTACATGCATTAATAGAGTAGCTCGTGGAACATTTAAATACATTCTCCACGAAACTGGTGATGATGAGATATCTCGACAAGACACTCCAATGCGAAAAGCTGTTACGCCAAAATCGACGACTAGCAATAACTTTGTACTACCTTGTGCTACCTGGCCTCTAGTAGAATGTGTTGCTTAACCGTACCGTGTTGTATACCTCCCTAGTTTCCCTTGAGGTTTTGCTATTTCCTAACGCGAAATGGGCACATGTAGTTTCCTCCGACCACAGGTCGATTAACATATCTGTGGCATCGTTGCTCCACATGCAAAAGTTGCCACGATTCTTCGACGCCATCTTTCTTCCCGCGAAAAGTACAAGATTTTGGCCCCCTTAAGACTCATTTTCGACCTCAATGCCTTCGCTTTCGTGGTCGTCATGAGCGTAAAGACTCTGGGGACGAGAATACCTCTGGTTTCGGCAGGCAGACCTCTTTTTAGGCGGGCCAAGACTACCCCCTGAGATGGTCTCGGCCCGGCTAAATTTTTCGGCAAGCGGGCTGTGCCCTATATTATTGGCCCCCGTGCCAAAATTTAGGACTGCCGTATCCAAAATGAATATCGTGTAAATGCGCGTTAATAGACACCTGTCACTCAAGCCGAGATATCAAGTGAAATATATTACGTAATTATCGATTTATGGTAGATTTAATTCTTGTATAGATTTGTAGGTCAGTCCGGTGGATGATATTCAATTTTTTTAACGTATATTTAAGTATGCTGTTAGAAAATAGTTGTTGACTTGTTGAAAAAAAGGAATAGATTTTAATTGGTTAAAGTAGTTTTAATTTACAAAATAACTGAGCTACTACGCGCGCTCTCATTGGTCGATAGGTGTGTTTAGATGAGAGTATGTAGACACGGTTGTGACGTTTTAGATTCGCGCGTATTTTTAAGAATTATTTTATAAAAGCAATAGAACACTTTTTCCGTGTTTACATAGCCTCATCTAAACACTCCGTGGGGCTGGGAGAATTCTCGAAAGTTATGCAAACCCGAGACTACGTCTCGGGTTTGCATAACTGTCTCGAATTCTGCCAACCCTCCTCGTGTTTAGATGAGGCTATGTAAACACGGAAAAATTGTTCTATTGCTTAAATATAGCTTGAGCTACATCCGAGAGCTACGTATTATACCGATATTATTACGGTTTTGTATTTGTAAAATACAGTAAACTGTGCAATGTTTTCTTTCTATTTGCGATCGTGTTTCTTGATTTTTGTTGTTGCTCTTTTTTTGTAATTACAAAGCATAATGCTTTAATTAAACATATTCAAATACATTTGTCATCACATCATTTCAATTCTCCACAATAAAACCAGAAGAACAGGACTTTTGGTTATTAGGAGTGTTCTAGACGTACAGAATAGCTCGGGCACTTGTTCACGTTTGCTGAAGGGTCAACAACCGGCGACGTAAATACCGATTGTTCGGAGGCCGAGATGAAGACGCGACAACTACCGAACAAAGCAAGGGCGGGCTCAGTAACTTCCCCAGAGTACTCTCCTTGTCGGCCATATTATTTCAGTGGATCACTTTTTCAACCCCAGCCCCTCATTTCACCCCGAGCGGCCATCTTGAATTGGCCGAAGGCAATATTCTTGTTCAGTGAGTCACACAGAGATACATTCGAGAAATTCGTGAATTTTGTCATTTTTCAGTGAGTCTTGTCGTGTCTTGTTGTGTCAAGAAGCATCTTACGTGATGTATTTTTTTGTCGGGAATTTTTCCCCGTCAGAAACAATTACCCGCTGATAATTACAGCAAATAGAGCATAAAGCTGGGGTTAATCCGATCCAAAACGTAGACAACGAGATAGAAGTAATTATAAAACAAGTTATACTTCGGTGTTAAACTCTACCATCTGCGCATTTTATTCTGTACCTCTCTGAGGATTTAAATGAGTGGTTTTTGTTCATAACGAGAAGAATTATAAATGACAAGCGCCTCGGCAATTCCTTTACGTTTGAATACCTTAGACTGTGTTCGCCAGTTGTTCAACAAAATTTTCTTTTCTGCTTGGGCCATCCCCCCCTTTTTTTTCGTTTATTGTCGAATGCGTTTTCTGATTTTGGGTCGGTCGGTCGGAAAAGGAAAAAAAAAAACAAAAATAAAATTGGAAAAGGAGTCTGGAGCTGGGATGCCCGGTACCTCAGCATAATATCCGTGAAGCCTGTAAACAACAAGGTGTGGTTACAAAGTCAACATCGCGGCAATGGAGGAAGGAAAAAGTCGATGTCGTTGTTAAAATCAAACGAGAACAGGGAAAAACTAAAAATCTGTAAGGCAAAAAATTGCTTATGTTTCAGATTAAAGTGACAATTGTTTGAAATAAT